CATTGGTGACGTTGGTGCTGCTGCTCTGGCTGAGTGTTTGAAAGAAAATATATCTCTGACAAAGTTGTATTTGTGGAATAATAACATTGATGAAGCCGGTGCTGCTGCTCTGGCTGAGTGTTTGAAAGAAAATACATCTCTGACAAAGTTGGATTTGGAGAAAAATAACATTGGTGATGCTGGTGCTGCTGCTCTGGCTGAGTGTTTGAAAGAAAATACATCTCTGACAAAGGTGTGTTTGGAGGAAAATAACATTGGCGATGCTGGTGCTGCTGCTCTGGCTGAGTGTTTGAAAGAAAATACCTCTCTGACAAAGGTATGTTTAGAGGAAAATAACTTTGGCGATGCTGGTGCTGCTGCTCTGGCTGAGTGTTTGAAAGAAAATACCTCTCTGACAAAGGTATGTTTAGAGGAAAATAACTTTGACGATGCTGGTGCTGCTGCTCTGGCTGAGTGTTTGAAAGAAAACACATCTCTGAGAGTGTTTTATTGCAGGGCTCCCCCCAGCATTAAATTCGTCGGTACCCATTTAATTCTCCTAGGTGAAGAGAGGCAACGTGAGAGTAAAGTGTCTTGCCCAAGGACACAATACAATGTTCCCGCCCAGGGCTTCTATTTATCGATATCAGTATCAATGCAAGACTTATGTAGCAAGACTTATGTCGCATTCCTTCCACCGAGGCGGAAGTATCACGGAAACCGAGCGAGTAGCGAAAGCCCACGCCGCTAACAAGTACCAAGCTAATTTCATTCACAATGGCCGCCTAATGAATAGACAACAAGGAATGAGTGATACCGACCAGCGTGGCTTAGTTATCCTTACCTATGCCAAAGGAGCTCCGATAGAGTCGCAGAAGTTCTTCAAGGTCGTTCATAAGCCTATCCGCTCCATCTCGAGGATATTTAAAAAGCAAAAAGACAAGAACGAGAAAGAGACTTACAGGGGAGTCGTGCACAAAATGAAATGTAAAGATTGTGATTGTGTTTAAACGGTAGGCAGACATCATGCGCGCTAAAAACACGCATGAAAGAACACACAAAGGCCATAGCAACATTGGATGAAAACTCTCTGTTGGCCAAACACCCTATGCTTCACAGTAACCAGACAGATTTGGAGAATGTTGAAATTGTTGACAGGTCATCGGCGTGACGACAAAGACTAACTCTTGAAGCTTGACGTTTTCTGCGAGATGGAAACGCTATAAACGAACACAAAGCGCTACTAAACATATACAATAATATTAAGAATTTTTAGAGCCATTAAGAATACTTTAGAGACTATTTTTACACTAAAAAAAATTAAAATTCCCTCGAGTTTTAGTTTTAACACACATCGTGTACATATACCAAATAGGACGCCGTTAGACATCGGTATCGCGTTCTTAGCGTAGTGTTCAACCGAGACGCGAAGAGTATTCAAATCGGTCGTTTATTTTCCTTCAGTGTCGAATGGTGAAACTACGTGTAAATAAAATACAGAAAACGATGAAACGAAAACAGAAAACTGAAAATACAAGGCAAAAACAATAAAATAACGGAACGATGAAAACTTATATGGATGGTGCTACGATGAATGATGAACTGAGAAACTGAGGTGATAAATTAAGGTGAAACCTACCGAAACTAAAAAACGCAACACACGAGCTGTGAACCGAATGGGCCTGGGAAATAAAACTGACCGAGTGGGTCCCAGGGCCCACTGACAAAAAAGGCGGCAAAACCCGCAATAATCTGCATATTTTTATCTTTGCTGAAGAAGGCAACAGTAGTAGCCAAAAAACAATGTATTTTTAGCCAGTGTCAACTTTTAATTCTTTTTACCAAAACATGTCTGTAGCAATTGTTCACTAAGATTATTTACCTTAGTAACAGCTTCATTTGAACGATAAATGTATTTCTCAGGACGTTTAATTGATGTAAATAAAGGTATTTTCAGCGGAATTCCAATTCTTTTGCAAGTATTCTTTATGATGTGTTTACTCTACTGTTTCCTTACTTTATGTCAACTGTTTTGCTTGAGATCTTTTGGAAACTGACCCATGGTTCAATTTTAGATGCTTTAGGAATTGGGTTTTACTCTGCTTATGAATACTGGATGAGAGTGAAATGTCTTGGTAACTGGCAAAGGTGAAAGGAAAACATAGGGAGAGAAGGAACAATAACGGCAGCCACAGATTACATAGGTGTTCAATTTTTAGCTGCATCTACGCTCTCCTTAAATATTGTCAGCTTTTCATTTTACCAGAGAATTTCTGGGAGAGAAGTAGAAGAGGAAAGCGAGAAAACAAGAGGAGGGGAAATTAAAGCCCGGGTCTCTACAACAGGTTTACCAGCCTTTAAACAGTATAAAACGAATGGAAAAAAAAACCATGGAAGAGAATGAAGGAGAGGGGAAAACCGAGTTGAAGTTTTTGCATGTCGCAATTAGTCAAAAGACATCTATGTATAATGAAACAACGATCGTGGAGTCGATCAAATAGTGTCGGTGGGGGAATCCCTCCGAAAATTATCACTTTTTCCGCATGCTCCCTATGAGAGTTACAACCCCCCTAGTCTCTTGCGTGTTCGGGCTTGTGACGATTTGACAGATCGCTTCGATCGTTTCCATTTCCTCTCTNGTATCGAAACTTTCGTTTATTAGAAGACAACTTGGACTTTGACGAGAAGGAGCTTGGAAAACACAAAGGAAGTGATCTACCTGAACTTGGATTTCTCTCTGTTCAGCCCGGAGGCAGTAAACTCCGAGCTACTAGACGTTATGGCTTTCTTCACAAGACTTTCCAAGAGTTCTTCGCCGCTTTGAATCTCGTTTGTCAGCTTATCAAGAAAGAAATTAGCACAGACAGCATAGCTGTTGACAGACGATATCGCCACGAGCTGAAAGAAGTGCTTCTGTTCACATTTGGCATTCTTGCCGCACGGTGCGAGGAAACAGCAGAGAACCTTATGAAAAGTATGGCGACACAGTTAAACCAGGAGGTCGGATTTTCGGAACCCAGAAATAGTATAACTGTTATATTAAAGTGCATTTATGAATGCAAAAATGAAAATTATTTCGATGTAAAATTGGCCCGCACTCTTAGCCCCTGTCTCCAAATTGAAACCATTGCTGTTTTGCGCACATTTAGTTTAGAGAGAGCTAAGACTATCTTACTAACCAACATTCTTAGAACAAATACAAGTATAACAAAGTTGGATTTGTCTTTCAATAAAATTGGTGGTGTTGGTGCTGCTGCTCTGGCTGATTGTTTGAAAGAGAATACATCTCTGACAGAGGTGATTTTGTCTTCTAATGGAATTGGTGATGCTGGTGCTGCTGCTCTGGCTGAGTGTTTGAAAGAGAAGACATCTCTGATATATTTGAATTTGTCTTCTGATGGAATTGGTGATGCTGGTGCTGCTGCTCTGGCTGAGTGTTTGAAAGAGAAGACATCTCTGATATATTTGAATTTGTCTTCTAATGTAATTGGTGATGCTGGTGCTGCTGCTCTGGCTAAGTGTTTGAAAGAAAATAAATCTCTGAGAACGTTGAATTTGTCTATCAATGAAATTTGTCATGCTGGTGCTGCTGCTGTGGCTGATTGTTTGAAAGAGAATACATCTCTGACAGAGTTGATTTTGTGTTCTAATGAAATTGGTGATGCTGGTACTGCTGCTCTGGCTAAGTGTTTGAAAGACAATACATCTCTGACACATTTGAATTTGTCTTCTAACGGAATTGGTGATGCTGGTGCTGCTGCTCTGGCTGAGTGTTTGAAAGAGAATACATCTCTGAAAGAGTTGAGGTTGTCTTCTAATGACATTGCTGATGCTGGTACTGCTGCTCTGGCTGAGAGTTTGAAAGAGAATACATCTCTGACGAATTTGAATTTGTCTTCTAATGAAATTTGTGAAGCTGCTGCTGCTGCTGTGGCTGAGAGTTTGAAAGAGAATACATCTCTGACGGATTTGAATTTGTCTTCTAATGAAATTGGTAATGCTGGTGCTGCTGCTCTGACTAAGTGTTTGAAAGAAAGTAAATCTCTGAGAATGTTGGATTTGGATAAAAATAACATAAGTGAAGCTGGTGCTGCTGCTCTGGCTGAATGTGTAAAAAGAAAACTCATCTCTAAAAAATTAGATTTCTGAACGGATTTACCTTGGGGAAGCTGGTGCTGCTGCTCTGGCTAAGTAAGTATTTGAGAGAAAACACATCTCTAGAAGGGTCGTATTGACCATTAGAACTCTACCAAACTCTAATGTGTACTACAGTTAAGCAAGCTGGACTGATTCGAAGACATATCAGAGGACAACAGAAAATCTTCTCCCGACCACAAACATATTGATGTTGAAATCTTGAGATATAAAATGTATAGATTTGAGATAACTCTATGGGTAATAAACATTGATCAAAGTGACCTCTCAGTCTTCCTCATTAATTAATAAATTCTAAGATACTAGGGGAATGGTTAAGTTCGCTTTTCTTTGGGTGATTTAGGATCAGAACTGAAGCTCAAGTGACGGTCAGTTATGTCCAAAACATTCGGACAACAGTAAACACTTTGATTAATGATTTGATATAGTGCTCAAGGTCTCAGTGTCGTTACCAGTATTTGATTAAGCTTCTGAAAGTAGGAGCACCTTATGGAGCTGCCATTAGTAAGCTTAAGAATGAGTGCATGGACCCTGATACAGCAGAACACTATAGGCAGCTGCTGAAGCAGTGGAAGGAAGATGAAGGCAGCATTCAAGGGAGGCTTGAGGAGACTGGAGGTATTCTAAGCCTAATACTATAAATACATGGCCTTGATTGTCTATGAAATATATCTGTACCCGAGGTTTTGTAGGAGAGGCAGTGGCCCTCGTTTATGACTGGTGCACTGGACTCTGGGTAAAGAAATCCAGGCTCACTACCTGTCCGGGTCACTGTGTGGTGTTCTCGGCAAAACACTTTACTTTCAAAGTGCCACTCTCCAACAAGGAGCATAAATGGAATGCCTGATGAAATGCAGAGGGGTACCTTTTCATGGAATGACATCCTATCCAGGGGAGAGTAGCAATACTACTAGTTGCTTTATGTTATAAAAATGTTTTTAAACCATGGGATGGGATATAAAATGTACCAGGCAATTGATAACGTTGCGTCGCATGCAAATATCTACTCAAACCAAATTTCCTATCCGGATCTATCAAACCCGCACATTGGAACATAAAATAAGTGGCTTACGTTTTTTTAGCTCTGTTTGTCCTGCGTGACCTTATAACTTCCTTCTTACCCAAGCCCAAAATATCACGTGCATGAATTGTTATAACAACTTTTGGATGACTTTCATTGGTAATTTCTGTCTATGATGGAGGCCTGGTTTTATGACCAAACATCTTCCAATCAGTTTGAAAAAATGTCTGTAGGCAAAATCAGAAGAGGATGCCAAATAGACAATGATAATGCTGACCCACCTGAATGTAGTGTTGATCTCCCAGAACTGTCTGACCTTCCATCTGCAGGTAAAGGTCAATGCCCAAGGCAGCCAGATGTCGTTTTAGTGACTGTTGAAGACTGTGAGTTCTTAAGTTGCTATGCATACTTGAAGAATTCAGGTAAGCACTACCGTTTATGGCCTTGGTTGTGTCTACTTTGGCATAATTGGTGATGAAGAGCACAAGCAAGGTTGCATCGATGAAATGCAATGAGGGCGTTGCTGGTCCCGGTGGTTCTTTAATTACTGTAAAAGATGCTGTCACTTCTATTCAGCCAAAGGCAGTTATTTTTGTGGGATATTGCAGTGGTATGAACCGTGAAAAAGCCAAACTAGGATTTGTGTGTGCAAAGCTCACAACATATGCGTCTAAGATTGTTTTAGATACTGAAGAGCAATCTACTGGAATAAGAACTGTTGTCAGCCAAAATTTCCTGAACCTCATCAAATTGTTGCTGATGGATGGGAAGCACTCACGAAAAATCCTAAAACACCAGAAGTGGAAGTACATACAGGTGGTGAGTTTTTAAGTGGACCAGAGAGGATCAACGCAGAAAACTGCTGGGGCTGATCATACCACTGAGAACTTCCAGGCAAATTCAACTTGACAACGGGTTAAGAGATAGATTACAACGTGAGGCCAGAGATGCAACTTGAGACACATTATTTTGACCTGGTTGGCTCTCATCTACACTGGTAGCAACACAAAATAGATCAAACAGCTAAAAAGCCAAAGGTCGTGTCTTTTCCCACCAAATAAGTACGAAACGTTTCTTAAGTTTATTTTGGTCTTAACGGTGGCTTAAGATTTTCCGGTGTAGTCACGAAATCTCGAGTTTTTGGTCCGTGTTTTCATTGTTCCTCCCTTGGAGGTTTATAAGTTCTATATTTTTCTGTCGCCGTGGTGCTAAGGAAGGAAGGGTGCGCATTCAAAACAAGGCGCTCATGAGGGACAGAGCACTTGTTTTCCTTTTCAGAAACAGAAGAATGTGCGAAACAAAGCTTAGAATGTTTCATGAAAAGTTAATATAGAAGCAATTGTCACAAACAAAATTATTCGTTTGAAGAAACTGTATAGTCACATGGTCACAATAGGCTGGGACACAGAGACGCAGACCACCATTTTTTTGTAATGAGGCTTTAAATGAGAACTGAAAAGAAGATGAACTACGTTTGATCTCATTGTAAATATATTCTAGTGGTGCCATCACTGAAACAGAATCGGGTCGCTTAATACAATATGAGTGCTTACCTAATAGGAGTAAGCACTCATATCTCCGTATTTTAAAATGCAAGATTTAAGGTTTGGATTCCTTTTTTTGTGCTTCGCAATCTTTGAGGCAAATTCAATTTTGCGATTCGATAATAATTGACAAGTTGTAACTGCCACTGATTTGTGCGTAAATTTTGGCCGGTAAACTGAAAACTCTTTTTCTCTGATTTTGTTAATAGGGTGGCCTACAAAAACACTTTGAAATATGAAATACGAATCTCAGTTTAAGCTATGTTTCTTCGCACAATCATAGCGGTAACTTCTTTGGTATATCAGACATATTTTGAAAAATTTCTGCACATCATAACAATCAAATGAAATTTCAATTAAAATCAAGTCAAACCCGTCAAATGATAAGTGTTTTGCTCGTTAGCACTCGATTTTAAAAGGATTGCGAAGTATACGATATTCTTACAATTACTTCGAATTATCCTCGATGCCTTCTAGTTGCGGTCTTTTCTATAACCATCTTTGTTCAAAGGACCGACAGGCGTTAAGAGCTGCAAGTAGGATGGAGAGGGCACTCACTGGCTGCGCCGTAGAAAACTAGGCTCGTTACTTGTAAAATACAAATCATAGCGTCAGTTGTGCGCGCAGGAGAGGGAAAATTTTCATTTGGAAATTAATACACGCGTTTCTTATTTTAAGCAACCTAGCTCGTAATTGAATTTCGCATGATTACGTTGCGTGGCACAATATTCATGAAGTTTATGAGCAGTTCCTTCCAGTTTATCGAGTCTTGAAAAATCGATAAAAAGGATAATCCACTTGGCTTACCTAGTGTGTTTTCGTGAATATATTATTTTCTGGTGATTTAATGGGAACTTTTGGGTTATAAACACATCAGATGGGTCCTCTGAATGAATTAGCTCACTATAAAATCACAGGATACATTATCCAATTTAGAATGACTGCTCTTCACCTAATATTAATAAGGACACCCTCTAGATGGATAATAAGAAACATTTTGGATTAACGTGACCATGCGGCATATTTTGTTGATTGGCTGTACAAGAAGTTCACCGGAACCGCAACATGTTTTTATATTTCCATACTCCTCCAACCTATTCTATATCGTTAGTTTAAATCAATATATCATCGGGAAGAACTTGGAATTTTGCGCTGAGCCGAGATTAAAAGTTGCACATTTATGGTCATGGCGGCAAAGGCAAAGTGGTAGTCAAACTGGAAAATAATTTTTAGTTTAAAAACCGTTGAAAAAGAAAAACTTGTGATTTGTTTTCGCAATGGATCGGTATAAATATGTGAGGCCAAATAAATTCCTCAGACAAGAGTTTTGTGAAAAGACGAGTAATTCAATTTGTGTCATTTTTGATGATTGGCGCTGTTAAAAACGGGCCTTTGAAGTGCTGAAGTGATTTTCGCTTGGAAAAAAGTTATTTTACGATATTTCAAAAGCCCAATGTGGTTTCGATAGTTTGACTCAACACCTTACGAGATCTATTTTTATTTTAGATGGTTATGATCCCACCGGAATGATTGAGAACATCCGCCAACTCTACAAAACCCGCGAGGGTACGATAAACCTCCCTCCTTGGTGTGGCGACTTAAAATTTTCTTTCGGAGACTTCTACACCAGACTTAAAGTCGTCTACAAAGAGAGAGCGAGAGGAACAGCTACGGTCCGAGTTGTCACAATTTCTGAGATCTTCAACCCGCAAGAGGAATGTGAAGAACCAAGAGTTGTATTAATCGAGGGTGAGCCTGGAATGGAAAGACAACTAACTGCAACAAAATTGTTTTCGACTGGGCCTCTCAAAAACGCGCAACCGGAAATTACTTCGCAAAACTTCAGTTTAAAAAGTCTGCTACGTGTATGATGTAATGATAAGAATTTATAAACACCGCCTTATCGTATCGTAAAATACCAGTTTCTGTGTACCGATGCTAAGATGTCCTTTTTAAAAGGAGTTTTGGTCTTATGAGTCAAATACACTTCTGTTTTATACACGATTTCAAATTCGTAGGTGACGGATTGCCGTTAATTGTACCAGTATAATCCAGTATGGAATAGACTCTCTATTTAGCTCTTGTCTACTTCCCCTTAAAAAGAATATAGCAGCTACCTAGAAGAAATACGAATTCAATTTTTGAGGTTCAATAGTGAAGAAGATTAATTTTATTTCACCCATTTCAGTAAGGTTCATACCGTAAAGAAAAACGAACCGATTGCTGATGGAAAGAAGAATTTCATTAACGGTAGTGCGATAATTGAAACTGGAAAGTGATTTTGAGATTTTGAGATTTTGCCGCTTATTTTTGCAATCATCGCTTTACCAACTACACTTCATAGTTACAAAGGAAATTGAGGCTCCAGTTTGTTCGCTTACGATCATATCACGATGTCGAGTTACACTGGTGGAAACTACCTGGATCTCTAAGGTTACTACGGCGTTTTGGTAAGACCTTAGAATTAGACACTGTTATATATTATAGTTTGGAGAGTAGGCAAAATGTGT